GTTGAGCAGGCATAGTGATCTGCCCAATAGCCCTGTGAGGCAAGAACTATACCCATTTCACAAAGGAGGATACTAAGGTTCTGAGAAGTCAGGAGCTTGCCTGAGGTCACACCGTTGGAAAGCCGAGGAGCTAGGACTGGAACCAAGCATTCTGACTTGAGCCTACACGCCTGGCTTCTGTTGCAGATGTATTAACAAAGACCAGAGATCTCCTTATAATGGCCTGGACATGTCAGGGGAGGCCCTCAGAGGTGCCCTGGCTGCTACATCATGAAGCATGGGCAAGCACTGTAGGCCCAAGGGGAGAAGAGGCAGATGGCCTCATGGCTTGGCAGCTGTCAGCAGTCTGGTAGGACCAGACACTCCTGTATAGGATACATGCCAAGACGCAAGGCAGATGGAGGGGTAGAAGGTATAAGCAGGGCCAGACTGTGGGGGTTGGGTGTGCTGAGAGATTTGGGCTTTACCCTGGATACCATGCAGAGTCATGAGTGTTTGGATCTGTCTGCTGACATGAGACTTGCCCATACAAGGCTCACACAGGAAACAGATCAGATTGCAGAAGCTATGAGGCTGAAGACTGGGGTGGGACCATCAGGAAGCCGCTGTTGTGATCCAGGCGGAGCAGGGAGGCCTCAGTTGGGCAGGGCAAGGAACTCCTTGGTCAGACTCTGTCCAGTGGCCAGCTGGGTGCAACTCTTATGGATTATTCTGAGATCAGCACTGGATGGCGTACCAGGCTGAATCCATTTCAGGTCTCTCAGAATATCCCTTCTGAACTAAAGCAGGATACCCATGGCTCACAGGGTAGCACTGACCTCTGGCCAGAGACCAGTTTGTCTCTAGGATTCCATTTCCCTATATATAATATGAGTGGATGTAACTAGATTGCATTTTGGGTGTCTTCCTGTTCTGACATTGTGAATTCTTTTTACCTTAGAGCTTCATGGTAGGCACGAGGCCCTCAGAAACCTCAGACACACATTTGGACACTGTCCAAAGGCACCAATTTGCTCTTTGTAAGATTAATTTGGTAATCCTGCATAAATTGAAACAATCTCTATGTAAGTCAGTTGGGCACTGTGTTAGTTAAGGTTGTGTAACTGACTGGCCTGCTATGTCCAAATATTTGGTCAAACATTATTCTGAATGTTTCTGTGAAAGTGATATTTTGGGGAATGAGACTTTAAAGGAGAACATTTAAATTGGTGGGGACACCTGGGTGGCTCAGTCAGTTGAGCGGCTGCCTTTGGCTCAGGTTGTGGTCCTGGGGTCCTGGGGTCAAGTCCGGCATCGGGCTCTATGCTCAGTGGGGAGCCTGCTTCTCCCTCTCCCTCTGCCCCTCCTCTCTCCCCCCTGCTCGTGCTAGCTCTCTCTCTGACAAATAAATAAAATCTTTTTTTAATATATTTTTTTAAAGATTTTATTTATTTATTTGAGAGAGAGAATGAGAAAGAGAGAGCACGAGAGGGGGGAGGGTCAGAGGGAGAAACAGACTCCCCGCTGAGCAGGGAGCCCGATGCGGGACTCAATCCCGGGACTCCATGATCATGACCTGAGCCGAAGGCAGTCGCTCAACCAACTGAGCCACCCAGGCGCCCACAAATAAATAAAATCTTAAAAAAAAAATTTAGGGGCGCCTGGGTGGCTCAGTTGTTACGCGTCTGCCTTTGGCTCAGGTCATGATCCCAGGGTCCTGGGATCGAGCCCCCACATCGGGCTCCCTGCTCAGCGGGAAGCCTGCTTCTCCCTCTCCCACTCCCCCTGCTTGTGTTCCTGCTCTTGCTATCTCTTTGTCAAATTAAAAAAAAAATCTTAAAAAAAAAATTTAAATTGGTGAAACTTTATATCAGAATAAAACAGATTCCCTCCATAAATGTGGGTGGGCCTCATCCAATTAGTTGAAGATCTTAATAGAACAAAGACTTATTCCCCTACCTCCCTGAGCAAGAAGAAATTCTTCTAGTGGACTGCCTTTGGACCCAACTCTTTCCTGGGTCTCCAGCCTGACAGCCTTTCCTGCAGATTTTATTTATTAATTTAAGTTTATTTTTTTTAGTAATCTCTACACCCAATGTGGGGCTTGAACTCATGACCTGGAGATCAAGAGTTGCATGGTCTTTTGACTGAGCCGGCCAGGCACCCCTATCCTACAGGGTTTTTTTGGTTTTTTTTTTTAAAGATTTTATTTATTTGACAGGGAGAGACACAGCGAGAGTGGGAACACAAGCAGGGGGAGTGGGAGAGGGAGAAGCAGGCTTCCCACCAAGCAGGGAGCCCGATGCAGGGCTCGATCCCAGGACCCTAGAACCATGACCTGAGCCGAAGGCAGACGCTTAACGACTGAGCCACTCAGGTGCCCCCCCTATCCTACAGTTTTGTTTTGTTTTGAAGATTTTACTTATTGATTTGAAAGAAAAAGCATGCATGCTGTGTGTGCGAGCAGGGGGAGGGGCTGAGAGAGAGGGAGAGGGAGAGAATACTCAAGCCAATTCCCTGTTGAGCGCAGAGCCTGCTAGATCTCATGACCCTGAGATCATGGCCTGAGCTGAAATCAAGAGTTGGACACTTAACCCTGAGCCACCCAGGCGCCCTAATTCTGCAGATTTTTGATTTACCAAGTCTCCACGATCATGTGAGCCCATCCTTGAAAATCAATCAATCTCTCTATGGTTCTGTGAATATGCTACAGCCACAGGAAAGAATGTACTTTTATGTCCTCATATGGAAAGTTCTCCAAGATATATTAAGGATAGTATATATAGTGTATAATCATCTGTGTAAACACCAAAAAGAGTGTAAAAATTTAAATTCCTATTGCTTATATGTGGGGGGAAAACCCTCTGGAAGGATATTTAAGAAACAAATAGCAGGGGTAATCTGTTGGAGGAGGGCAGTAGGGAAACCGAGTAAATGGGAGGTAAAGTAGAAGGATCTTGTTGCTTTATTCCTTTTTATATTCTGATAAATGCACATATTCTTTGACCCAGCAATTCCACACCCATATATTTACTTTATAAATATACTTCCACACATGCAAAATGACATACATACAAAAATACTCAAATGCAGCATCATTTATATGAGAAAAAGAATAGAACCAACCTAAACACCTACCAGTAGAAAACCAGTTAAAAAAAATCATCCATCTGAAGAAACATGGTGCATCTGTTACAAAGAATGAGGCTGCTCTGTTTTTTTGTTAGTTTTTCCCTTTCTCTGTTCAGATGTGGAATGATTTCCAAGTGAAGCAGAAAAAAAGCAAGACACAGGATGCTGTGTTTACACTATGCTACCACTTGTGTGGGAAGAAAATCAACCTCCATGCCTATGTACTTGCAAATGCAAAAATATGTCTGGAAGAACATAAACTATAATGGTGGTTACCTGGGGAAAGGAACTAGGTAACTGGGGAATGGGGGTGAGAAGGAATTACTTTACAATGTACCTTTTGAACCATGGGCATGTATTATCTATTCAAAATTTTTAAAAAATTCCTGAGGAGAAATCACATGCTAGGTGGGGACCTAAAGTCATCAGAACACGAAGCACTCATGCTTTTCATGATGTTTTTAACCCGAGTCTCCCCTGAACTGCTCTTACAAATACCACCTTCGGACTACAGCTAATTTCACTGAAGACTCAGGGCCTTCAACAAAACCAGGAAAATAAATGTTGAAGATTAGAGCACTAGCGCTCTGCAAGGCAGATGACTCTTTCATCCATGCATAGAGACAACTAGATTCAGACCTTTTCTTTAGAACCTTTTTTTTATTCATCATCTAACCAACAGAGAAGGTCAGCCTGAACCAAAACAAGCTAAAATAGCCTCATTACAACACAACAGGGCACAACCGGAAATGAGGACAGAGGTTGGCCTCAGTTCTTTTCAGAGCAGACCAAGCAAGTATTTACACACAGGTGCCCCATTAAAAACTGATTAGCAATGCACCACCACCACCACAAATGCAGAGTGTGTAGCAAAATCGCTGGGGGCTCCCCACATGTGTCAGCCATAAATAAGCCCTTGCTTTTTTGAGGGGAGGGTGATCAGCGTGCATCTTGAGTGATGGCACCATCTGTTTACTCTGGAACTTTGATGGGGAGGTAACCATTTACTTCCTCCCCTGAATTTGAGATGCAGTAATAGCCTGTCTGAATACCTAAAAAGTGTCCTGGGAGATAGGTGCTGGAGGTTCTCTTAACAAAGAATTCACAGAGTAATCGTATAGGGCTCTTTAAGTACTTAATCCCGTTGTTTTCCAGAAACCTTTGCACCTGGGCTCCCAAGAAGCAAGCAGGGCCCTTATCAGCACCCCACAGGCCTGTGAGTGAGGTGCCTCTCAGAGCAGCCACCCATGGAAGAGAAGGGGGCAGGGAAGGGGCCAGAAATCAGCTCAAACACTCCATGCTGGTTCTGACTCGCTCCATCTCGTGCAGGAAGCTGTAGAACTGAGGCAAGGTTAATTCTGGGGAGAGAAAATTCAGCTTCAGGTAAATGTTTCCAACTCCACAGAATCATCCAAGAAAATGAATTTCCACCCAGAGATTTTTTTTTTCTTTTTCGACTTAGTACATCTAAGCAGCTCTTGATGGGTAATTGACCATAATAAAGAACTGAGAGCCTTGAACACAGAAAGGTTCTCGGCTCCATACAAAAGTAGAGAATTTAAAAATGGCATAACTCCACAGCACAAAGAGATGAAAGGGCATTATTCAGGATGTTCAGCACGACTTTTGCAGCAAGAGCTGCTTGCTCTTCAATCTTTGCCGTCCCTTCTCCCTGTGCTTTCCTTTTTTTCAAAGAGGCTCTTCAACTGTGGGGTCTCCAACCTGCTGATGGCTTATTATTTATGAGAGGAGAGGCAGTGGAATGGCTACTCCACAGCTCAGGTATGACTTTTTTTCTAGAAGAAATGATCTCTGTGGTGCTTCACAAGCCCACTGACTGAGGAGAACATGGAAAAAGTGAAAAGGCTCAAATAGGAATTCAGACTCACCTATGTACAAATTTTCAGTTTGATTTCCTTTCTTAACCACCAACTTTAACTGATTTAAAAAAACACAAAGGAAATAAAAGTTTAAATTAAAATGATGACAACAGGGCAAAAAAATTCTTGAAATCCTTAACACTAAAACATCGAAGCATCCAGCTTCTGACTTGAGAGTCAAACAGGAGCAATCTGGATCCACGATCACCAAAAACTTCTAACAATTCTCATGACTACAGAACAATCAAGCTTTTAAGAAAAATCTCCGGATCATATTAATCTGAGAGTCGGTGTGTTAGTGACCACGTTTTTGGCTGACAACACTTCTCTGAAGTACACAAGGCACTCCAGTGAACAGCCACTTAAAAAAATCCAATGTCGATTTAATAATTTTTCACCAAGTCAAAAATCTACCCATTTTCACAGATCAGGAGACTTACTTGTAAAAAAATACTTCCCACTTTCTCCAGTTCACTGCTCCCAGATGTTACTGTGACACAAAAGAGAAAAGTAGTAAGTGATGGGCTGACAATGGACCTACTCTGAACACCCCCATCTTGCAGGCTGTCCAGCAGAAGCCGTATAGGGACGAGTATGAGCACAGCAAAACGTGCTCTTCAGGAAATCAACTTACTGAGAGCCATGGATGGAAACAGCTGCCAAATGCCAATATGGAGAAGCAGCTGCTGGCCCCAACAGTCCGTGAGGACCGAGGACATGTCCTCCCCATGGAAACTAACTGAAGGCCTCTGCAACCCCACCCTACGTCCCCCACATGATCTGGGACTGGCTCTAACTAGTTACCTCCAAATTTCCACTCCATATCTATAAGCTGGTTAATCATCAGAGTCTGTCCTATGGCCCATCGAGCAAGGGTGGGAGCACTCTGTTTCCACTGAAATAAAACCAAAGAGCCAAAGTCATAACAATGGGGAAAAAGCCCCCTCTTCATTCTGCCCCCAACACAGCAATGCTTAGTATTTATACAGACCAGGGGAAGACTGCAGAACCAAGGGTCCAGCCTATATGTACAGATCTGGGATATAGGGGCAGTAAAGAGGGGCAGAAGACGATATAAGTGTTTTCTTTCATTCCAAGATTTAGTCCCAGTTTGGGACAAAAACTGCATGACAATTAAAGTCAGTCAAATCAGATGCAAAACATTAGAGATGCACTAAATACTGCCGTTTAAACACTGTATGTATGTATGTCATTTGCATGAAAGCCATTAAGCTGGGGAAATGACACAGAATGATTGATGGTTTTTCCTTAGTCGACATTTCTCATTTGTTTCTTTTCATGAAATAAAAGCAAACAAACTTAATTAACCTTGATTAAGCGGAATTATGATACCTTTTCGGAAAAGTAAGTGGCTTTCTCCTCACTAAGACCTGTAAGAGAACAGAAAGAGACTTTAACATAATAAAGAGCCGCCAGGCCCGTCACCCTGAGCAACCTTGGCAATGACCTACCAAGAGTTATGAAATCGGCCCGGACCTGATCTGCTGTGAGACTCTTCTTCAAGGCACCTGGGAAATGGGAGAAATCAGTTAAAAAGGGCGTATCAGTTAATCAATTGGCAGTAATTATCAACAGACACAACCGATATGAGAGAGGACAAAGGGGATACACAAAAGACATGGCTAGCTCCAGGAAAATCTCAATCCAGCTGTGGAAAAAAGGCACATAGGAAGCAACTGGAGAATGGGACAGCATGCTTTGTTTCTTGTACAACACAAGCGTTGACCCCTCTAGAAACTGTGAAAGAAGTTAGAGAACAAGAATGACTTTATGGAGGGCGCCTGGGTGGCTCAGATGGTTGGGCGTCTGCCTTTGGCTCAGGTCATGATCCCGGGGTCCTGGGATCGAGTCCCGCATCGGGCTCTCTGCTCCTTGGGAGCCTGCTTCTCCCTCTGCCTCTCTCTCTCTGTCTCTCATGAATAAATAAATAAAATCTTAAAAAAAAAAAAAAAAAGAATGACTTTATGGATTTGGGCCTGGGGGTACCTGATGCGAGGAAAGAATAAGGCCACGGATTCCTGGAGCCAAGTCGGGGAGCTCAATGTCAGGCTGGGCGTAAGGGCAATAGCCTAGAGCTGCACTGTGCAATACAGACCCACTAAAGATGTGGGGTTATTTAAATTTTATTTATTTTTATCCTAGCACCCCCTTAAATTTTAATTAATTAAAATTAAACAAAATTTAAAACTCTGTCCCTTAGTTGCACTCTTTCAAGTCCTCAATGGCCACATGGCTCTGGTGGCCACAGTACTGGACAGTATAGATCAGAGACCATTTCCATCTATTTAGATAGTTCTTTTTTTTTTTTTAAGATTTTATTTATTTATTTGAGAGAGAGAGAGAGAGAGAAAGCACTCCATGAGAGGGGGGAGGGTCAGAGGGAGAAGCAGGCTCCCCGCCGAGCAGGGAGCCCGATGCGGGACTCGATCCCGGGACTCCAGGATCATGACCTGAGCCGAAGGCAGTTGCTTAACCAACTGAGCCACCCAGGCACCCCTATTTAGACAGTTCTATTGGACAGAGCTGCCACAGAAAATCAGCTCTCTGGAGGTAATCGAAGATGGACTAACAGCTGGCCTCTACGATTCACAAGTCACTTCCAAAGGGGCCAGGCAAAGTTTCCCCTCAGAAGCCCTGAGAGCACTCCCCTGTGGGGGCTGCTTTGTTCTGCTTGCGAGGTCCAATTCCTGAGAACACGGTGTTGCCAGCAATCTGGGCTTCTAAATGTTTAACCTCCGGTTATAGCCTAGAGTCACAATTTGGCAACCGCTTTAAAATTTTCCACTTCTTAGTCTTCCAGAAGATGACTAATTAAAGAATAAGGGGACATCCACCACCATCAGAGAGGGCCCTGGAGTAATACCCTAAGCTCAACTCCCCACCCCCAGCTCACTCCTGAAAAACAATCCTAGAGGCTGTTTGTCCCCTGCAAAATAAACCATATAAACAAAGGGAGGAAATCTTTTATCGCCAAAATCAGACTGAGCAAGGAAGCCATAGGGAAATAAAAAAGGCAAGACACCAGGGAACCTTGGCCATAAAGGCCCTCCAAGACGGCCACTTCCTAGCCAATTCAATTAATTCGTAACTACCACACGCACAGCTCCTTAGTGTATATCTAGCTCAAATCCAGTATTTTGCTTGATGATCCCAAAGTACTCTGAAGTGGGGATTACTACTGAAGCCTTTAATTTACCAGGAAACTAAAGATCAGAAAGATTAAGCTTTTGGGAAGAAAATCTGGCAAAGCCACATAGTCAACAACTGCACTGTCAACGAGTCCCCCAACAGATGTGCTCCAGAGAGCACACTGAAATATACGTGCGAAGCTCTTTAGCAATGTCAGGAGGGAAGATAAAATGTCAGAAACAGTGTCCAGGTTTTGGTGCATCCACACAGCAGCCTGGGTGCCAAGGTGATTTTGTTAAAACTTGAGTCAGTCAGACCGTGTCTCTGCCCTGCTCAAAACCCTCTTAATAGCTCCGGTTTCACTCACAATAAAATCCAGAGCTCTTACAATGCCCTAAAGGACTGGCCACCTCTAGAACCCCTAAGCTCTTCTCTCCCTCGCTTCCTCAGCTTTTCCTATAATATGCCGGGCAGGTTCCTACTTCCTGGTATTTGCCCTTGCAATTCCCTCTGCTGGGGACGCTCTTTCCCAAATCTGCACGGGTCCCTTCCCTCATGTCCTTCCAGCTCCTCCTTGAATCTCACCTCCAAGAGGACCCCTGGCTACTCTAATTCAAGGGGAGCTGCTCTTCACCGGTACCCTTCTACTGCTGTACTTTTCTGCGATGCATTCTTAACCACCCAACTTCACGTGACACGTTTACTGTTGGTTTTTCCACTAGAGTATCAGTTTGATGAGAAAAAGGACTTGGTCTATTTTGTTCATTGTTGTGTCCCAAGCCATACTTCAAAAAATATATTTACATCATGCTAGGCTTCAAGCCCTTGATTAATTAATTAATCTTTCTTTTTATTAATTAATCAAGATAGAATTGACTCCGCACTCAGTGGGGAGTCTGCCTCAGGCTTCTCTCTCTTCCTCTACCCCTCCCCTCCACCTCCCCCAATCCAGCGTGCAGGCTCTCTCTCTCAAATAAATAAGCAAATCTTAAAAAAAAGAGGGAGAGATACAATGGACATATAACATCGTGTAAGTTTAAGGTGTACAACCTGTTGATCTGATACATTTATATATGGCAATATGACTGCCACTACAGCATTAACTAATACCTCTATCACATCACATAATTGTCATCTCCTTTCTGTGCTGAGAACCTTTAAGATCTTTTTTTTTTTTTTAAGATTTTTATTTATTTTTATTTGAGAGAGAGACAGAGCTAGAGCACAAGCAGGAAGAGGAGGCAGAGGGAGAGGGAGAAGCAGACTCTCCACTGAGCAGGGAGCCCTACTCGGGGCTCGATCCCAGGACCCTGAGATCATGACCTGAGCTGAAGGTAGACGCTTAACCGACTGAGCCACCCAGACACCCCCAGAACCTTTAAGATCTAAGCTCTTACTGGGACACCTGGGTGGCTCAGTCTGTTGAGCCCTGCATCGAGCTCCTGCTTGGTGGGGAGTCTGCCTCTCTCTCTCCATCTGCCTCTCCCCCAGTTCATGCTCTCTCTCACTCTCTCTCAAATAAATAAATAAAATCTTTAAAAAGATCTAAGCTCTTAGCAGTTTTAAAGTTTATAATACAGTATTGTTAATTATAGCTCTTAACTTCTTTTTCAGCTTTCTCCTTTGGTGATTCCTTTGTCCTAAGCACATGACAGACCTGAAGCCTTGACTCTATGTCAGACAGAAAGAAAATTATAAATCCAGGGCTGGAGTCCCCAGAACATGCCACTTAGGGAAATTTGAGAATGTCCTTCTTTAAACACAGATAACCATCTGAGATGGTTTATAAAGTCCTTGAGCACCAATTTTCACCGAACAGTTGCCTTAGGCAAACCCTTATTGCCATCAAACACTATGGGGGACAAGACAAAGGTGTATGTCCAGGGTGAGGGTTCTACTTTTGCCAGGAAACAGTTGGAAAACTAGTGTATTGTTCTTCTAGTCAAAAATCTATATAAACTTTTTCAGTGTAATAAGGGAAGCCCAAGGAACAGAACTAAGCATTGGTTAAAACTCCAGGAGAAGGAAGCAGATGGGAGAGAGTAAGGCACGTTCAGCCAGTGATTACTGACCCTAAAGGCTGACCAGCTGAATCCACTTCTCTGAGGCTCGTGGAAAGACAGAAGTCATAGTCACTGTATGTGCATTTACTGAGGACCTGCTCAGTGCCAGCACTATGCTAGCTGCTGGGAAACATCAATGACCCACAAAGACAACGTCTGCCCTTGTGAGGCTTACATTCTATTGGGAAGCAAAAGACCACAACAATAATGTAACAAGTAAGAAAGCCATATAGAGTATGACTGAAAAGTGCCACAGAGAAAAGTAATAAATACAGCGGGTGAGGCTGGGAGTCCTGGGGAACTTAGCTCAACAGTTGATTAAAAATCATGTGTGATGGGACGCCTGGGTGGCTCAGTTGGTTAAGTGACTGCCTTCGGTTCAGATCATGATCCTGGAGTCCTGGGATCAAGTCCCGCATTGGGCTCCCTGCTGAGCAGGGAGTCTGCTTCTCCCTCTGGCCCTCCCCTCTCTCATGTGCATGCTCTCTCTCACTCATTCTCTCTCTCTCAAATAAATAAAATCTTAAAAAAAAAAAAAATCATGTGTGAGGGGCGCCTGGGTGGCTCAGACATTAAGCATCTGCCTTCGGCTCAGGTCATGATCCCAGGGTCCTGGGATCGAGCCCTGAGTAGGGCTCCCTGCTCAGCAGGAAGCCTGCTTCTCCCTTTCCCACTCCCCCTGCTTGTGTTCCTGCTCTCGCTGTCTCTGTCAAATAATAAAATCTTTAAAAAAAAAAGTACCATTTGTGACTACTGTTCAATGCTGATTACTCTGTTTTTGCCCAGCCACAAAGAACTCCTTTGGGAAAGGAGAAGGGGAGTTATCACCTTTTCTTAAAAAACAATCGGGCACCTGGGTGGCTCAGTTGGTTAAGCGACTGCCTTCGGCTCAGGTCATGATCCTGGAGTCCCGGGATCGAGTCCCGCATCGGGCTCCCTGCTCGGCAGGGAGCCTGCTTCTTCCTCTGACCCTCCCCCCTCTCATGTGCTCTCTCTCTCCTCTCATCCTCTCTCTCAAATAAATAAATAAAATCTTTAAAAAAACAAACAAACAATCAGTTACCCACAAGGGCCAGATATCTTGCTAAGTATTAAAATAAAACCAGGCTTAAACAGTAGCCCTACAGCCAAGTTATCTGTAATCCAGGAGTTACCTGTGTCTAAAAGACAAGCAGTGCACTGCACTCACTGAAGTATTTCACATTTAGTATCTTTCTCTATTCTTATAATGATGTATGAACTCCTATTATAAGCTCTGTTTTCTGAGGACACTGATTCTCAGAGAGGTTCAGTAACTTGGCTCAAGATATCAAAGCTGTTAAGTAGCCATGGTGACAAGTAAACACACAAGGGCCATCCAGCAACCAAATGCCATGTGGGGACCCTCCCTGGATCCTGATGAGAGGAACCAACTACAAACAAACAAAATGCACAAGACAATGGGGACATCTGAACACTGACTGCATATTTTAATTTCAGATACGATAATGGCATTGTGGTTTGATAAGGGGGAAAAGGGCCTTTATCTTTTAGAGATAATGACTAGGTATTCAGAAATGAAATGATATGACCTCTGAGGTATGCTTTAAAATAATCCAGTTTGGACAGCAGTGAGAAGTGGGAGGGGTGTAGATGGAACAATCTGGCTATGGGCTGATAACTACTGAAGTCAGGTGTTTTTAAGAATTACATACTAAGTAGTAAAAGAAAAACATTAAAAAACAAAAACAAAAGCCACTGGGCTTTATGCCAACCATGGGAGATACTGGCCCCAGCTTTTCCTCTGTAAGATCCTAAGCAAGTCACTTCCCTTCTCTAAGGCTCTGTCTCTTTATCTGTAAGACAAAGATTAGACTAGATCAGCACTTACAAAAAGCTTTTACCTGACCCGCTCCCTGCAAGAAGAAAGAGTAGGAGGGGAAGAAGATGGGTTTCATGGTTAACTGTTTCTCAGATACTGGATAAGCAGGTTTCTTTATTGTGGGCCTTTTCAGAGCCTGAGATATGTTAATATGTATGTCTCTCCAAGATTCCAAGGCTGGGGGAGTGGGAGGGGACAGTATTTCCTGCTTTTGGCTGACCACACAAGCCTTTTCTGGAAGAAAACACCAATTTGGGGACAACTGATCTGGAGGGTGGCGGCTCCCCCAGCTCTGACAAGCTGTACTTCTATGAGGAGGCCTTACTGCAAGGCAGGCCCAGGATGAGGGACAAGGAAGAGGGTGAGGACCTGGAGGCCCTTACATTTCAGATGACATTAGGAAAAAGCCTGGAATGCCACACTGAGGATTACGGACCTTACCATGCGAAGTCAACAGTTGTGAGGAGCAACATGATCCCCAGCTGTGCTGCAGGAGTGTCCTCCAGGCGAGGTTGGAACCAGGCATGGAAGAGTAGAGGTGGAGATGTTACTGCTCACAATGAGGCAGGAAGGACTAAGAACTTGTTCTGGGCTGAGGAAGAGAAGTGACTTATAAGCTACGCCCTCAGACGCTTAGTCCTCATAATCGGGAGAAGGCATAGGACTGAAATTAACTAAACTATCAATACATAAAGCTAAAGTTTAGCCAACACTGTATTAAGTACTTTGCATATATTAACTCATTCATTCCTAATGCATAACCATACTGCTCTTATTACTGTTTTTCAGATAAGAAACGGAGGCTGATTTGACCAAGGCTGAATAGCTATATAGGTGATGTGACTAACACTCAAATCCACGTGAGCCTGTCAAGCCCACCTCTTGAATGGTATGCTATGAGTTCCTCAGGGTTCTCTGCACCTATAGAAAATGATCTGCTATAAACAATGACAATCAATCTTGCCTAAAAAATATACACCCAACATCCCCTGGGAGGGTCATAGGATCTCCCAAGTTCAGTTCAACTCATGCAGCATGTACTAAGCATCTGCTTTATGTCATCACTTTACTTGTAACCTTGGCTCAGGAAAGAAGTACAAGATCCTCCCCGGACTTCAAAGAACAAGCTCTCTGTCAAAGCCACAAAACAGACACATGTAAAACAGCCCGAGCAATAGAAAACTGTAAACGATTATGGTCCAAAATGATAACTATAGATAAAAACCATCTCTCGGGAGCTGAGAGGAAGGGAGGGCACTGCGGATTGAAGTGGTTTAGGAAGGCTTTCTGAGGCAGCACAGGGGTGGGAGTTCCCGGGTTGGGGAGGACTGAAGGCAGTCTGATGGGACTGAGGGGGTGGGGAGCAGAGCTAACGAAGACTGGAAAGAAGGGAGGCAGGGACACCAGAAGACCGAAGTCTCCTGAAAAATCAGTGTCTACAACAGCTGTCAGGTAGACAGGTCTCTACCCAGAGACAAACCCATCCCCACAGGTATAGGCCAGAATGAGAACGACAACTCTGGCACTGCACCCCGGGCCCCTACCCTACAGAAACACTCACACGGGAGAGTGTACAATGTCCTGAGGCCATTCGCTGTGGCACTGTTTGTTTGTTTTTTTAATTTTATTTATTTATTTGAGAGAGAGAGAATGAGAGAGAGTACATGAGAAGGGGGAGGGTCAGAGGGAGAAGCAGACTCCCCGCTGAGCAGGGAGCCCGATGCGGGACTCGATCCCAGGACTCCAGGATCATGACCTGAGCTGAAGGCAGTCGCTCAACCAACTGAGCCACCTGTGGCACTGTTTCTAAGAGTGGAAGGTTACAAAGATGTGCAGCAACAGGAAACCCCCGACCAGCTGAAGAGACACCCAGCACATGGTACATTATAGTCCTCAGAAGAATGAAGTCGACATGGAGAAATCTCCATGCATGACGTACCACACAGGAAAAAATACAAGCTGCAAGAGCACTTTTTTTTTTTTTAAGACTTTATTTATTTGACAAAGAGAGAGACAGCGAGAGAGGGAACACAAGCAGGGGGAGTGGGAGAGGGAGAAGCAGGCTTCCTGCTGAGCAGGGAGCCCGATGCAGGGCTCAATGCGGGGCTCGATCCCAGGACCCTGGGATCATGACCTGAGTCGAAGGCAGACAGACGCTTAACGACCGAGCCACCCAGGAGCCCCATGCAAGAGCACTTTTATGGTTTACTACCAGTCATGAAAAACAAAACTACATGAATGTCTATGTGCGTGTCTGCCAGTGGACGTGAAAATATAAAAGGATATACACCAAATGCGATGGTGTCAGGAGAGCAGATAGGGATTTTTCACTTCTGACTCTGCACTGTTGTAGGTTTGCAATGAAAATTTATTCCCGTGTTACAAAAGACTGCACATTGTCATCCAGCCTTTGGTTCACATGCCTTTAACCCACCACAAGAGCAACAAATGCAAGAATCATACAGAGGATGAGAAAATTTCACAGCTGGAAACCTCAGGATGTTCTGATTCAAGCCCCCAGAACCTCAGGAGCAAAGGACAGGCAAAGGAAAGGACCTGCACTAAGATATGCGAAGGCACCCAACAGGAACAAACAAATGAGGCTCCCAACTTTCAGTGCACCACTGGGCTGAGAGCTTGGGAAGATCAGTCTACTGCCAATTTGTAAAATGTGCAAACCAGGGATGCTGTTTTACCTCCTCTCAGCCTGGTCAACATTGATTCATTCTTTGAGACTAGCCTCAAACGTCGCCTCTCTCTTTACATAAAATTAACTTGTGATTAAATTGCCAAATCTAGCATCTCTTTAGACAATATACAGTAAAAAATAAACAATTAAGACAGCCTGTAGTCCTTCCACCCAGATATAGCCACAGTTAACATTTTTTTTCTTTACAAAAATAGGACTGTGGTATAATAAACTATCATTTTTATTAAATAGTAATATTGTGAACGATTTTCCATATCTTTACATTTTCCTCATCAGCATCTTTTTAAATTATTACAGAATTTGAAAAATAAGAGCAACCTCTTACTGAGGTACTACATTATGCATATCATTTACATTATCTCAATCTTCAAAACAAGCCCCCTTCACATACCAAGAAAAAGCTCAGATTGGCGGAACAATGTTAGGAGAGGGGTTGTTGCTAAGGCTTGGGAGAGACTGGGTACCTGGACAAAGTGACACTACTCAGCAACTGACAGACCCACATCTACCTAACTCAAGACCATGAATTTTTGACCACCACAATATTCCCCTGTAAAAACAGACCACAGCGCATTATACTAATCTCTAACTGCTGGGCAATTTGTTTCTAATTTTTCTGTATCATCAAAACAGTGGTATGATGGATATCCCTACAGCTAAACCTTTGTGATCACCTCCCTCCTGGCTAGAAACTTTTCCTGATTGCTTAGGCATATTACTTCTGAAACCATCTGCAGTGAAAGAACTTTTTTATTTTCAATCCATCATGGACTAATATTTTTGTAAAGTACAATGAAAAATTTAAAAAAATGTTACAAAATATAAGCCCCAAATAGTTATAATGGTAAATTTTACATTATGTATATTTTACCACATTAAATAAAAAAAAATAAAAGCCCCTGGGGTGCCTGGCTGGCTCAGTCGGTAGAACTTGCAACTCCTGATTTGGGGGTTGAGTTTGAGCCCCATACTGGGTGTAGAGATTACTTAAAAATAAAATCTTAAAAAAAAAAATACAAGCCCCATTAAAAAAAAAAAAAGTGGTTTCTTTTTTTTTTTTAAAGATTTTATTTATTTATTTGAGAGAGAATGAGAGAGAGCACATGAGAGGGGGGAGGGTCTGAGGGAGAAGCAGACTCCCTGCCGAGCAGGGAGCCCGATGCGGGACTCGATCCTGGGACTCCAGGATCATGACCTGAGCCGAAGGCAGACGCTTACCCAACTGAGCCACCCAGGCGCCCAAAACCAGTGGTTTCAAAAATTTTTACCGAATTGCTATAAAAGCTTCTAAATGCTTATTCTCAATTTCTGTACTTACTGTGCAGAGGACCAGACAGCAGTTTGGGGATAGAAGCTGGGATGCAGATTGCACTTTGAGCTGTACTCTGTTACATTTTCCTGCAGTTGTCTGTGTACCTGGCTTCCCTCCCTAGACTTCGAGTCCTGCCCACGCCTGGTTCTCTACCGAATGCACTGGCTCAGTGCCCAGAGCAGCTTGCCGACTCTGTGGACTGAAAGAATTCAAGTAACATCTCCGGCCTCAGCTGCTAAGAGAGGCTACTCACCGTTTGGAACCAGAAGGAGGCTTTTCACGATGCTTCTGAGAGGGCCAAGACTGATCTGATTGGTGGTGGCAAACTCAGAGAGCTGAGCCAGAAACCTTTCCACCTGCAGAAAGGGAACAAAGCAGGCCTTCACTTGCTTAGCATCTCAGGGCTGTAGACCCACACTCAGGAACTCTCCTTATCACGAGGTACTTTACCTCTTTTGGCTCAGTTAGGAAGTGGAAGAGCACTTCTGTCAAGGCCGAGAACTGCTGTGAAGAGAATAACACAGAAATTCAGTAACATTCTACTCCTGGGTCAGCGTTCCCCCGTCCCATCCAACTATAGACTCTTGAGAGAACACACAGGTGTTGATACCTGTTTGATCATCTTAAAGTTCAAATATGCACAACACCCACTACCCAGTGTCAATATATCAGTACTACTATATTGTCTGAAAAACTCGTATATTTTATTGGAACACTTGGGAGATACATATTGCGATTGTGAGTGTATGCACACACACGCACATACATATCTCAAGGGTCCAAGTATGTATGTACACACACACACACACACACACACAACCTGAGAGGGAGATCACTGGAAGATTAATAGTAGTTGCTTTTTGGGCACCTGGGTGGCTCAGTTGGTTAAGCGACTACCTTCGGCTAAGGTCATGATCCTGGAGTCCCGGGATTGAGTCCCACATCGGGCTCCCTGCTCAGCGGGGAGTCTGCTTCTCCCTCTCCCACTCCCCGTTTGTGTTCCCTCTCTCACTGTGTGTTTCTCTGTCAAATAAATAAATAAAATCTTAAAAAAAAAAAATTAAAAAAAAATAGTAGTTGCTTTTTTCTTGTTTATATTTCCACATATTTATTATTCAAACATAAGCCAATCCAAATAATGATTTCTTCTTCTTCCACACCCCACAAATGTTAACATATATACATTTTTTTTTTCTCTACCTTGTCTTTCAAAGCAGTTATTTCTGTGTAGTGGGATTTTGGGTGATTTTTATTTTCTTCTGTCTATCCATATTTTCTGGGTTTCTTCCCCACAATAAACATTATGTATATGACAAAACAGTAGAGTTTACACTTTATTATCTACTGTCCTAGAACAGTCTCTTATTCTTTTTTTTTTAAAGATTTTATTTATTTATTTGACAGAGAGACAGCGAGAGAGGGAATACAAGCAGGAGAGTGGGAGAGGGAGAAGCAGGGGAGTGGGAGAGGGAGAAGCAGGTTCCCCACCCAGCAGGGCGCCCGACCTGGGGTCAGGAATCCAGCAGAAGGCAGATGCTTAATAACTGAGCCACCCAGGTGCTCCTCTTATTCTTTATTTTTTTAAGATTTTATTTTATTATTTTTAAAAGTTTGTTTTCACTTTTTTTTTAGTAATAAAATTAAATGACTCTCCCTGCCCCCCCCCCCAATTCAGTCCCACTGCCCACAGGTGGTTACTGCTAACACCTTTGTGGCCTTCCCAGAATTGCATTTGAATTTAATTTCTTTTAAATACAAAGGAGATGGGGCGCCTAGGTGGCTCAGATGGTTAAGCGTCTGCCTTCGGCTCAGTTCATGATCCCAGGGTCCTGGGATCGAGCCCCACATCAGGCTCCTGGCTCAGCGAGGAGGCTGCTTCTCCCTCTCCCTCTGCCTCTCTCCCTGCTCATGCTTTCTCTCTATCTCTGTGTCTCAAATGAATAAATAAATAAAAATCTTTAAAAATAAATAAAAATCTTTTAAAATAAATAAATAAATACAAAGGAGATGATGGGGCACCTGGGTGGTTCAGTTCTTAAGCATCTGCCTTCTGCTCACGTCCTGATCCCGGGGTCCTGGAATCGAGCCCTGCATCTGGGCTCCCTGCTCTGCGGGAAGCCTGCTTCTCCCTCTCCCACTCCCCCTGCTTGTGTTCCCTCTCTAGCTGTGTCTCTCTGTCAAATGAATAAATAAAATCTTAAAAAAAAAAAATACAAAGGAGATGATAGTGAACCTACACCCTGCACCTTGCTTTTTTTCATCCAATTATATCTTAGAGATTCATCTTGTCAGTAGATATAATTCTACCAGTCTCTTTTTTTTTTTTTTTAAGATTTTATTTATTTGTCAGAGAGAGAGAGCATAAGCAGGGGGAGAGGCAGGCAGAGGGAGAAGCAGGCTCCCTGCTGAGCAGCGAGCTTGACTCTGGGCTCAGTCCCAGGACCCCGGGATCATGACCCGAGCCCAAAGCAGGCGCTTAACTGACTGAGCCCCTCAGGAATCCCTCTACCGTTTTTAAAAAAGATTTTATTTTCTTTAAGTAATCTCTACACTCAACTTGGGGTTTGAACTGACAACCCGAGATCAAGAGTAGCACACTCCTCCAACCAAGCCAGCCAGGCACCCCTCTACCCAATTCTTTTAACAACTGCACAGCATTCAACTGTATATACTTAGGGGGTGTGTGCCTGCTTTGTTGTTATTCTAAATAATACTGCAATGAATATCCTCCCACATATTTCTTTGTGACATATGTGTCTATAAAATACATTTTTAAAATGTATCTTAGGTCAAATGATATATGCATTTTAAATTCTGAGAAAATGTTGCCGAACTGTCTTGCAAAGAAGTTGCATGGATTTATACTCCCACCTGCACAGAGGTTTCTACTTTCTAAAAACTTCATGGATATTCCCTGGAAACATTTTAACCAAGCCTGATCCAGGGGTTGTCTTTCTGCAGTCATAATGATAGTGGTATTAGCCTTGCATAACTACTGATTCTATATAGTAAAAACAAGAAAAGTCAGTGACTAGTTTCAGACTGTGTCCTCAGACTATGAGTTTTCCTTATTTCCCCCTGCAATCTGTGGACTGTCAGATCTTTGGCTAACTGTATTTCCTATGTCACCCCGGGCCTTTTAAGAAATGGAGCAGCTGAGAAGCCTGCCAGTGGCTTTTCCATTTCCAGCCCTGAGCCTAGCATTCAGGCTCAACCTCCCTGTGAGGCCTCAACCTAATCTGGTCTGCAGGACACATTGAGCCCCATCCCTATCTCCTCTTTTCCAAAGCCTCCTTTATCCTTCAATGTCCTGCTGCCAAGACACCATGACCCTCCCAACAAGAAAGTGACCTACCCAGATTCTTAACTTCTGAGGCTCCCTCCTGGAACCTTGCCTGAGGGCACTTAGAATTTTAAATCTTGATAAGAAACACAGACTTCTCTTAGCAGAGAAGGTTCCTTGTATGCCTTCGGATGGTCAGAGTCGTAGTTATTACAAGTGCACAGTTAAGTATTTGTTGAATAAATCTTCCCTAAACACCTTCCCCATTCTTTGCCTTTATATCTGCATAGCTGTCTCCTTCTGGAATGTTCATCTGCTCGTCACCATCCATGAAATCAAATCTTAACTATTCTCACCAGTAAATGTATGGAAAGACGGTCAAGATCATTCCAGATGAGAAATGCAAATCAGTAAAATAAGGAAGTACCACTTTTTAACTTATCAGATCTTCAAAAATAAAAGTTTGATAACACCAGTGCTGGTGAAAGTACCAGGAAACAGATATGCTTGCACTGTTGATGAGAGGATAAAACTGGGACAACCTTTCCAGGCGGCAATTTGATAGTTGTATCTAATTTTTAAATGCTTGTATCTCTTGACCTAGTAATTCCACTGCAGGAAGTATATCCTTCAGATATGTTCCAAAAAGTAAACCCAGACACATTTACACAAAGCAATCCATTGACAGCATTGTTCATAAAAACAAAAAACTGAAAGCAACTTAAGTGTCTATTAATATACAGCAGGTTAAATAAATTATGGTAGAGCCATTTCAAGGAATATCATGCAATCCCTTTTGTGTAAAAAAAGATTTTAACGGATACCCATATATATACAGGCAGATGCAGACTTTTTTTCTACAAAGACACACAAGACACTATTAAAATGACAGTTTCTGCAGACAAGAGAAATAGATATTTTAATTTTATACCTTTGGGGGCGCCTGGGTGGCTCAGTTGGTTAAACATCTGCCTTTGGCTCGGGTCATGATCCCAGGGTTCTGGGATCCAGCCCCACTTCATGCTCCTTGCTCAGTGGGGAACCTGCTTGTCCCTCTTCCTCCATCCCCAGGCTTGTGCTCTATCTCAAATAAATAAATAAAATCTTTTTTTTTTTTTTTTTAAGATTTTTATTTATTTGACAGAGAGAGACACAGCGAGAGGGAACACAGGCAGCGAGAGTGGGAGAGGGAGAAGTAGGCCCCTGGCGGAGCAGGGAGCCCGATGCGGGGCCCAATCCCAGGACCCCGGGATCATGACCCGAGCCAAAGGCAGACACCCAACGACTGAGCCACCCAGTCGCCCCTAAATAAATAAAATCTTAAAAAAAAATTTAGACCTTTGAATACTATTTGAATTTTCTAACTGTATGTGTTGTTTTCATTCACAGCTAGGTGAGATTGTAGACCATTTGTTTTCTTCTTTCTATTTTTCTGAATTTCCTCTCTCATAAACTTTCTAAAAATTATTTTTTTAATCCTATTCTCAAAGATGCACGTTACCTAGGACTGGCCACAGGCATCAGAGAACACATCTAGGTGCACTTAGTACTGTGCTGCATCTCTGTTTTCTGACCTGACCTAGCAGATCACAACTTCCCCGGCATAAGAGGCTGTGTCCATCATGCCTTTGCAAACCCCACTGGGTTTAGTGGCTATTTGGTGTACAGTAGGCATTCAGAAAAATACCCACTGAGTGAGCAATAAATGTTGATTTTAGTATATGTGCAGCCGAAGCAAGCACTGAGCAATAAATGTTGATGCCCACACTGATACACTGATTCTTTTTCTCACTGATGCCTAGGCCTCAGACTTCAAAATAAATTCAGCTAACAGAGTGGGTACTTGGAAAAATCTGATCATTCAACAAAAGGCAGGGCAAGGATTCTGGTAAACTGCTCATCAGGAAAAAGCTTTCTGTGTTAAAAAACAAAGGTAAAGGGGCACCTGACTGGCTCAGTCTAAAGAGGATGCAACTCCCGATATAAGGATTGTGAGTCTGAGCCCCCACATACTGGGTGTAGAGACTACTAAAAACAAACAAACAAACAAACAAACAAAAAACAAACAGGTAAAGATCCAGAGTAGGTTTTTTGTTTGTTTTGTTTTTAAATAGGCTCCACACGCAACGTGGAGCCCAATACAGTCCTAACTCATGATCCTGAGAGGAAGACCTGAGCTGAGATCAAGAGTCAGACGCCCAACCTACTGAGCCACCCAGGCGCCCCCAGAGTATGTTTTAAAGTTAGAATATGAGGGCAAGCTCTGATTTTAAAGAATGTGGTTTATGTTTTTTCCATAAATACCAAGTTGGAGGTAACCTTAGGGATCCTATCATCCTGTAGCCTGAAAAAAGTTTTTTAGCAGCAGAATGTTTTTTATTCTCCAAATGGAAATCTTCCAGAAAATCCTGCCGTTTAAACAAGTGAAAACTAAGCTACCTAGTTGGGGAGATCACCTACAAAGCTCTGTTGTTTCATTCCCCAAAATCTAAAGTCAAGCATCTGGTCCTGAATTCCCGGCTCCACCACTTCCTGGCTGCCTGACCTTAAACAGGTCAATTTCTTTCCCGGAACCATTTTTCTTATCTATAAAATGGGAATAACAACAGCACCTACCTTTTTAGGGGTGCTACACATAAAGCACTGGAGAACAATGCCTGCCACATGGTACATGCTCAATAAATGACAGCTATTTTTGTTTAACTGCTCTGTGATTCAGTTTCCTTAATCTGTAAAATGGGGATAATAATAGTACCTACCTCCTAGGGTGGTTCTAAGGACTTAAAGGCTTAATAATATACGTAAGAGCACTTAGAATTGCTGTATGATAAACAGTGGCCACTAGCCACATGTGGCTATTAAACACTTGAAAAAGGCTAGTCTAATTGAGATGTACTATAAATGTAAAGTGCACAGCAGAACCTGAAAAATTAGTATCAAAAAGTAAAATATCTCACTGATATTTTCATATGGATTACACGTTGAAATGATAGTATAGTGGATTAAAGAAAACATATTTTGTTTCATTTTTATTTACTTTTTATTAGAGAGAAAAGATTTTTATTTATTAGAGAGAGCACGAGTGGTGTGGAGGAGGGAGGGAGAGGCAAAGGGAGAAGCAGACTCCCTCTTGAGCAAGGAGCCTGACAAAAGAGGGCTCAATCCCAGGACCCTGAGATCATGACCTGAGTCAAAGGTAGACGCTCAACCAACTGAGCCAACCAGGCACCCCTTTATTTATTTACTTTTTATTTATTTAAAGATTTATTTATTTATTTATTTGACAGAGAGACAGACAAGAGGGGGAACACAAGCAGGGGGAGAGGAAAAGGGAGAAGCAGACTCCCCTGCCAGGGAGCCCAACGCAGGACTCAATCCCAGGACCCCAAGATCATGACTTGAGCCACAGGCAGATGCTTAACTGAATGAGCCACCCAGGCGCCCTATTTATTTACTTTTTAATGATGTTATTTTCAAGTAATCTCTACACCCAATGTGGGGCTTGAACTCACAACCCTGAAATCAAGAGTTGCAGCCAAGCGCCTCTCTTTTTAATTTTTATATGTGACTGCTAGAAAATGTAAAGTTAGACTTGTGGCTTGCAATTTATTTCTTTCTGTTGGACAAAGGGGTTTCAGAGTATGTCTGGCATTATAATTCGTGTTACTTTATGAGAAAACAGTAAGTTGGGGATGCTGAGATGAAGGAGAGGGACCCCACCTCCTGAGAAGTTACAACCCAGTGGGGGAAATAGCTGCACCTTTACAATGGTGATGAGAGGTGTCATTTTAGCCTATTTATTTTGGCTGCCTTGGTGCTTTGAAAAGGGCAGCCCAACCAGCACAGGGGCAGGAAGTTGGCTGGCTGGCATTTGCTGCCTGAACAAGCAAAAAACAGCTTTGCCAGCTCCTCTACTACCAAGGGGGGGGGGGGGTCCGCCACAGTGAAGAGTATATGGTTTTTTTCTTTGAGGACCACCAGATATTCCCCTTAATTGGGGGTCAGGGGTGTGGCCCTGGTCTCAGGCCCCTCCAGTCCCCACCCTGGCCTGGCCATTACCCAAACCCGTATGTGACCGCGGATTACCTGCCCCCCACTCCAGGCTCCCCCTTCCCCCGGCCCCCGCTGGATGCCAAGACCCCCCGCAGTTTCCCCCACTGGTCTCCCTACCGAACATCTCAGTTCCTCCCTGGCCCACCAAATTCCACAGCTCGCCAAACTCCCACTATTACCTCAGTTCCCCAAACCCCCTTCAGCCTTACGGAGACTTGCCCCAGTTCCTCTAAGACCCCCACAAATTCTCCTCGTTCCCAGGACTCCCGCCCACCTCTGTGTCCCCACACCCCCCTCCCCGGGACCCCTCAGCTTGCGCCGTAGGCCTCTTGCGATCCCTCGGCCCCCCAAACTCGCCTCAGATCCCCGATTCCCCTTAGCCCGTCCCTGAATCTCCCCAGCGCCACACCGCACACCAGAAGCCCCTCTGCCTAGTCCCTCCCACTCTCCTCACCCCCAGGCGGCCCTCGGCCCACACCCCTCCCCTCCCTCAGCCCTCGGGACCCACGCTGGCCCGCGCCCCGGCCGCCCGGCCCACCTGCGCGCCCAGCTGGTTCAGCTGCTGCATGTCGCCGCCCACGGCCTCGGGCACGGGGTCCTGCGTGCAGTGCAGCCGGCCCATGGCGTCCGCCCCGCTCCGCAAGGCCCGCCGCCCCCCAGCTTCCTCCCTCGCCGCCGCCCGCCTCGCCGCGCTTCCGCAGCCGCACTTTCGCCACAGCCGCCGCCGCCGCCGCCGCCGCCGCGCTCCTCCCCCAGCCGGCCCCGGGGCGGGGCGGGGCGCCCTCGCGGAGCTGCAGACACGCGCGGGCCCCGGGGGCGGGGCGGCCTCGCGGACACGCGCGGACCCCGGGGCGGGGCGGGGCGCACGAGCCGCGCGGCAGAGGCGCGCGCCGCTGCGACCCCTGGAGAGCCCCAAGGAGCCAAGCTGCCAAACGTGGGATTTCTTAGCGGATCTCCCTCTGGGCGACCCCACAACACAGAGCTTGGCCTCCCTGCGCCCCGGTTGCACTCTCTGTAAAATGAACGCAGGGATGGCTGCTTAACTGAGGTAATTCTCCCAGAACGTTTAGACGATTAGCCTGACACATAGAAGGTCCTCAATCAGTGGCTAGCTGCTATTAACATAGGTATGATGCATTCAGCAGATTTCTTGTTGCACGCCTACTGTGCCAGGCCAGGGGGATAGAGAAGTGAACAACGCAGGCCCAGTGTCCCTCCTTAGGAGAGCTTATATCAGAGCAGAGCAGTAAGGACTCAAATTTGGGCTTGCATCAGCATCTTCTGGAGGGCTTGGTGTAAGGCAGATGGCTGGGCCCCACCCCCAGAGTATCTGATCCAGAAGGCTCTAGGGTACAGCCTGAGAATTTGCATTTCCAACAAGCTCTTAGGGACCACACTTTGAGAACCTCTGGAGTGGAGTAAACTGACCCCCAGAAGTGTAAGGACTGTGATAGTGGGAGGGAGGGTGGTGCTCAGGTCCATGAAGGGAGTTTATTAGGAAGGTGATGATCACTTTAACCTGAAACACTTTAACCCCTATGCTGTGTTTTCCCAAGTACCTCTCACAGCCCGTAGTAACTATTACCCTGATCCCCACTGAACAGATGAGAAAACTGAGAAGTGCTCCCTGGAATCTAGGACGTGGCCCCCAAGCCCAAGAGCTTCTTCACCTACCCCCCCCCCGCCCCCGCCCCGCACTCAGCCTTGAGGGTAGGGAGGGGATGCATAGAAACATGGGGTGGGGGACTATGGAAAGGATTGGCTGGCTTTCCCTACCAGGCTTTCTTCTCTACCCTTCACTAAAAATCCCTCTGGAAGGATATGAACAAAATGTCTTTGACCTAGAGGCCAAGTGCCTTCCCTTTAGTGATTATTTCATTCATGCACTCATTCAACAGGTAATAAATCAAGTGTCTACTGGAGAGTGGATACCATGACCGGTGCTAGGACACCACAGTGACAGCCGGATGCAGTGCCTGGCCCTGGAGAAGTCGGGGTTTAGTCAGGATAGCAGACACACACACATGTGTGAAATTCACACACATGTGTGTGTGTGAAATTATTAACTGATGTCGAGAAGTACAAAGTGCTTTGAAAGTGTATGCAGGGCACTTCTCCAAGTCCAAGGTACCTGGAAGAGAGTAAACCTTCAAGTTACTGACAGTGACTGAACTCAGGCCCCCTGACTCACCATCCAGGAATTTTTATTTTAAAATATTTTCAACCTTTTAAAAAAGATCCCTGCTGGGGCATTATATTTATTTATATCTTTAAGTGTTAAATCAACTTTGTTGAGGTATAACTTATATACAATGAGATGCACTCCTTTTAAGTGTGTTTCTTTAATTTATTTTTTTATTAACATATAATTTATTATTTATTTCAGGGGCACAGGTCTGTGGTTCATCAGTCTTACACAATTCACAGCACTCAAGAGAGCACATACCCTCCCCAGTGTCCATCACCCAGCCACCCCATCCCTCCCACCCCCCTTCACTCCAGCAACCCTGTTTGTTTCCTGAGATTAAGAGTCTCTTATGGTTTGTCACCCTCCCTGGTTTAGTCTTGTTTCATTTTTCCCTCCCTTCCCCTATGATCCTCTGCCTTGTTTCTCAAATTCCTCATATCAGTGAAATCATATGATACTTGTCTTTCTCTGATTCAGTTATTTCGCTTAGCATAATACCCTATAGTTCCATCCACATCGTTGCAAATGGCAAGATTTCATTTTTTGGTGGCTGCGTAATATTCCATTGTATATATATACACCACTTTTTCTTTATCCATTCATCTGTTGATGGACATCTAGGCTCTTTCCATAGTTTGGCTATTGTGGACATTGCTGCTATAAGCATTGGGGTGCATGTGCCCCTTCGGATCACTACATTTGTATCTTTGGGGTAAATACCCAGTAGTGCAATTGCTGGATCATATGGTAGCTCTATTTTCAACTTTTTGAGGAACCTCCATACTGTCTTCCAGAGTGGCTGCACCAGCTTGCATTCCCACCAACAGTGTAGGAAGGTTCCCCTTTCTCCGCATCCTCGCCAACATCTGTCGTTTCCTGACTTGTTATTTTTAGCCATTCTGACTGGTGTGAGGTGGTATCTCATTGAGGTTTTGATGCGTCTCTTTAAATTATTTTTTTAAAGATTTTATTTAAAAAAAAAATTCCTTGAGGAAACCAGTGGATTTGCTTCATTTCTGCTCCCACAGTGACTGGTGCTGAAGCACATAATAAATATTTGTGGAATTTAATTAGTCCATGTGACAGAAAAGAGAGAAAGAGAAAGAAATTCACTGGAAACTGCTGTCCAACACTGTAGTAACACAGTGACTATCTTGCCTTCTAGTTTCTTCCATGTCACAGGTCCTTGGGGTTTCTGTGATTTGTTTTGTTTTTACATATTCAGGGCTTTCCTCCTTCCCCAACCTATTTAATCTCTGATAGACAGAGTGGGGTCCTTGAAGGACACGGACACCATCTGGGAATTTGTTAGAAATGCAGACTTGTAGCACCCACCCACCCAGACCTGTTGATTCAGGATCTGCATTTTAACAAGATCTCCAGGTGATTCCTGGGCACATTCAAGTTTGAAGTATAAATAATAACAACAATTTTTAGATGCTCACCGTGTGCCAGGCTTTATTTGAAGACCCAAATAGACAGCATGTATAATGATAATACTTTGAACCATTACCTATTGTTGCTCATATTATTTCTATTTTAATGTTTATCACATTGTGTTATTGCTGTCATTTGCCCATCATTTGTCTCCCTCACTTACTAATAATGTTGTCTTGGGCAAATTACTAAGCTTTTTGTGCCTCCATTTCTTTTTTCATTTGTAAAAATTGAGACAATAATAGAACCTACTTGAAAGGACGATATGAGACAATGCTCGTAAAACACTTAGTCCAGCAACTGGTGCATGTTAAGTGCTCAATAAATGCTTGCTATTATTATTCCAGTTTTTCAATCTTATAGAAAGAATATAGCAATAAGCATCCCTGTACACATTTTTCCCCACATCTGATTATTTCTTTTTGAGAAATTCCTGGAAGTGTCAAGGAATGTTATGTTCAGACTATTTGGGTTCTAAATAGCAAGAGAATGGCCAACTTTCCTAGGTAGGGACCATGACTGATCTCTCAGAGAACAACCAGAAATTAGCATTTCACCCTGAATAGGGGTCTGGTGGCAGGTTCATTTCCCTGGATGAGGCACTTAAGAGCAACTCACTCTCCTTCCAACCCAGCACTCCTCAACCTTGAGGGTAATCCCAAGTCCTCTAAAAGAAACCTCAAAATCTCAGACAACTCCAGTCTTGGCTTCAACTATAAACACTATGCAAACATGATCATAAGAGCCTGTATACTATTCTACTGAGCCAGAATATAATGCCCATAACTAATCCCCATGGTTGCCTATTTAGGTCTTTACAGTTTTTCAGTTTTATTAAGAACTTGTCAGTTAACGAAAACAATAGGTAAAAAGGTCTTTCCAATGTTTTCCTTCACAGTCCATTTCTAGGATGAAGGAAGGAGTGGTGATTATTGTTAATGCGATAACTTTGTCGCAGGAAATGCAGACCTGGGGCCAGGCCTCCTTTCTAGAGAACCCCCGCCCCCAGCAGCTCCCATTTCAGCCTTAATGAGGGACCTTGCTCCCTTCATTCACTTTAAAATGTCCCTGTGGAGGGCAAAAGAGGGCCCCCTCCCCCTCCCCTGCAAGTGAAAGGAGCTCATTAAGAAGTCTTTTCTCAGGCACAAGGATTCCCGCTGGGAATTTCACCAAGGGGCCAAGTTCTTCCCCAGAGAAAGGTTGGCTCTTCATGCTCTGAAATGCCAAAAAGCATTTAAAAAAATTAAATTTTTGAGATAATTGTAGATTCATGTACAGTAGTAAGAAATAATACAGAGAGATCCCTCAATATACAGATCTTATCTTGCAAAGTGAGATACTGACATTGATGAGATACTGAGATTGATGTGAGATGCAGAACGTTTCTATCACCCCTGAGGATCTGGTGTGTTGCCCAAGGGCATTATAACAGAAGGGATAGATTCCAGATCCTCCTCCTACCAAACACTGCGGGGGGGATATACTATGGACATTTTCGTGTTTCCATTTATTATTATCCTCATCATACCTTCAATACTAGCTCCTTTATTATAAAAGCACATAGACAAATGCAAAATTACAGTTGGCCTACACTTTTCAAAAACACCTATGTTATAGAAGTCATCAACAAAGGAAGGCTGGGGAATTGCTCCAGATTAAAAGAAACTAAAATAGACAAGATAACTAAATGTAATGTGTGGTCTTGGATGGAGGTAAACAATTACCATAAAATATATTATTGGCACAACAACGTGAATATGCTTAACACTACTGAACTGGGGCGCCTGGGTGGCTCAGTCGTTAAGCATCTGCCTTCGGCTCAGGTCATGATCCCAGGTACATCGGGCTCCCTGCGCGGCAGGAAGCCTGCTTCTCCCTCTCCCACTCCCCCTGCTTGTGTTCCCTCTCTCTCTCTCTGTCAAATAAATAAATAAAATCTTAAAAAAAAAGAAAAAGAAAAAAGACTTTAGAGAGAGAAGATTCCCCTGACAAGCAGGGAGTCCCCACGCAGGGCTTGATCCCAGGAATCCGGGATCACGGCCTGAGCCAAAGGCAGACGCTCAACCGCCTGAACCACCCAGG